CTTGTGCAGTATCGATCTCTATTTAACATCTGTCATCGCGAACTCTAAAAAAAAAAAAAAAAAAAAAAAAACAGAATAAAATCTCCACGAAAAGCCAATTCTATCAATAGCTGTGGCAATCGTGGACGTTCGATCGGCGTGTAATCCCGAGGCGGACGAATCCGCGACCTCGTAAAACCTCGGGAGCCGCGTTTCGTAGAAAACAAACGCGAGGCAGGGTTCATTGGCCCGGGTTGTCGAGGGCAGAGAGAGGATTTCAGACGGAAAGCTGGCTGGGGGCAGCATCGTCGTCGTCTTCGTCGTCGTCGTCGTCGTCGTCGATCGTCGGCAGGGAAGCTTAACATTGGCAACGCTGACAGTTCATTGACTTGCATCGAACGCGTGCACCGATTGACAGGCCGGGCGCGGAGGTGCAACGGTACATCGTTCTCTCGACGGTCTCTCTCCCTCTCGCTCTCCTTCTCTTTCTCTCTCTCTCCTTCTGTTCTATCTCTCTTTCCCTCTTTGGTCCGTGCACGAAGTTGAGGTAGGCGAGGTCGCGTGTCTGACGTCACGAGAGAGTCACTTGACGACCAACAGTGTGTCGCCAATTCCGTACGCATATACGTGCAATGCACGCGAGCGCGCCTGCGCCTCTGACAGCGTACAACGAAGGCTCGAAGATACGACGACAACGACGACAACGACGACGACGACGACGACGACGACGTTCCACGCGTCGTTCGTTACGTAACCACCGCGCGAGGTCGTTGACCGATACGCGGCCGGGAACTTCCTCCGCCCTGACCTACCTCTTTTCTCATTCTCAATTAACGGCTGCCGCATGAAAAACCGACTCGGCCGAACAATCTCCGATCTGCTTTTCCTTCTCATCCATTAAATCGTATCGTTTCATCCCTCTCGCATAGATACATTTCTCCCGTGCATGCATATTTTATACATCGCGAGCTTTGCTCGTTTGGCAAGATATATTGGTATATATTTAAATGAGAGACGCCAGCTTATGGGGGAATCTCAATACTCAACCCCCGGGGGGTTGGTTTGAACGTCGAAACGAGGAGAGGAGAGAGTGGGTCGATGAAGCTGGCGGGTTATTCACCCTTTCCGGCGGCGAGGAATCGTCGTCTCGTAGGTCTCGATGAAAAAAAAAAAAAAAAAAAAAAGCGAACGAATCCCCGAAAAAAGCGAGGCATAGGCAGGGTTGATAGGCGCGCGTACGTCAAAAAAATGGTGGGGGTTTCCCGCGTTTATTCGTGCTTGCTCTCTCTCTCTCTCTCTCTCTGGCGGAGTAACAGGAATACGGTGGAAGGTAGGGACAGTTTTCGAGAGGGTGGTTCCTTGCAGAACGCAGCGAGTTGACGGTATGGCGGCGGCGGTGGTGGAGGAGGAGGAGGAGGAGGTGGAGGATGAGGAGGAAGAGGAGGAGGGGGAGGAGAAGGAGGAGGGAAGGAACCCGTTAGTAGAGCGTTCGAAGCGCGCGCGAGCTTCTATGGTCGCGTTCGACCGACGAGGAACGCGATATACGTCGAGGGTTTGCCAGCACGCGCGAACGGGACAGGGAACAGAGACAAAACGGGAGAGAGACGAACAGATCGGGAGAAAGAGCGAGAGGGAGGAAGAGGGACTGGGTGCGCGCGCGCGTGTGTATGCGTGTGTGTGTATGTATGTGAGTGTGTGTAAGAGAGAGAGAGAGAGAGAGAGAGAGAGAGAGAGAGAGAGAGAGAGAGAGAGAGAGAGGAGGCGAGGCAGAGTGCGCGCAAGGGGGACTCTCACTTTCACGCGGTGAACTGCGGGTGAACGTCCGGGAATTGGGTCAGAGTGTCCCCCACCTCGGCGAGCCAGAGGCAATGTGCCGAGGCTCTATGCTTTCTGTGCTAGAAAGAGCCAGTCCACAGCCAAGCTCCGATACAAACGGTCGCTTCTTTTTCCCCCGCCGAAAACTCGCGTCCCGAGTCTCGCATGATACCGTGCAGGCGAACAGTTACGCTCGATTCGCTGGTGAGTTTGGTGGTGTACGAGACGTGTGCATCGTTTCTTCACGTCGTTTTTCACGTCGCGAGAACGGTTCAGTGAATCTCGATCGAGCGAGACTGTGAATCGCGAGCGCTGGTAGCAAAAGTACATTGGACTTGCCCGTCGTTCGTTCTCGCGAGTTTCGTGGTTTCACTCGATCGCTAACAATAATAATAATAATAATAGTAATAATAGTAATAAAAACGAAGAAGAAGATAGAGGAAAGTAAAGAAAGATCTCTAGTGCGCGTGCTGAGAGGCACGCGAGTCAGTTGCGGGATAAGGAACGTGTGAAACTGAGAGAACACAAATCTGTCCGGGGTGAATTAATGGGGTGCTTGTGCGAATGTGATCTGGCCACCCCGCGTACGGGGACCAATTGCTCGTCAGAGTCCTCCTCGGACAGTGACGGTCAGACTGACGAAGGTTTCGTTGGTGATTCGCAGGGATTCTTCCGACGCAGCATTCAACAGAAGATCCAGTACCGGCCCTGCACTAAGAATCAACAGTGCAGCATCCTGCGCATCAACAGGAACCGCTGCCAGTATTGCCGCCTCAAGAAGTGCATCGCTGTCGGGATGAGTCGCGATGGTGAGTCTGTTTCTCCATGTCATGACATAACATAAATCCCCTAAAATGTCCCTGTTCCTTCGAGAGTGATTTCCCCCCCAAAAAAAAATTTCAACGTCGCGTGGAACATCATTGATTCCAACAACATCGTGGCTAGTAAACTCGCTGAGAAACGATTTAAACCGAGATACCAGATATCATCTCTCTACCAATAAACTCGCGATCGCGTAACACGCACACTTGTCCCAAAAAATAGTTGTTAAAATCTAGAGTGACGGGTCGTTGACCGTTTGCGTAACGCCGCTCCCCGCGACACAGCGCAAGTGTCGCAATGGGCGAAAGTGGCCAGTTCACTGTTCGAGAAAGCAATCGCAATTATATACCTTCCTCGAGGCCCGTCCCGCGACGAGCTTGCTTTCTTTTCGAAACATCGGTACACCCGATTCCGTCCGGCGACCTCTTTTCCTCGCTGCGAAACCGTGCGTAAGTAGATTCGGCCATCGACGCGCCAGACCTAGCCGAGGTCGACGACCTGGCAGCATCGGCAGCCCGCCACCGAGATGCATCTACTGCATCGTCTGATCTAGAAGCGTCCGTAATCTCCTTCGAGACTCGGACCCGATCGAAATGTCCAGATTCTCGAATATCCTCTCCGTGTACCGGATGCATATGAAAAAAATCGTATTCGCGCAGTTGGTTTAGTTACTCTCAACGATCACACGAACGTTTATGGATTGTTGTTTTCTCTCGAACAACGACAACGATCCGATCGAACGTCACAAGTGCAGTTTATTCAGACTCGAGGGTGAGTCAAAGTTTGAGAAGCAAGAGTTTCCCGCTGATAGGCAGCGTGGATCGTGCCGCGGGGTCAATAGTCGGGCATTGCTCGGCTTACATGCGACTCCACGTCTATAGAAAGAGTACCGCTACTCGCCGCTACGTACCCGGTGACCCTTCCACCTCCTTCCACGCTACCCCTACCTTCTCCGCCAGCCGCGTACGCTATCGCGATCATTCCCGCCTTCTCCTACCTCCCCCACCTTGTCCGAATTTCCCCCACCGCGCGTCCTACAGCGACAACGCGCCGTCGCGTGGCGCTACGCTCCATGCGGAGACCTCGCGAACTTCGTCCCCTTCGCGATCAGCGTTATCCCTACCAAAGGAATGCGCGCCAACCTCCTGCCACTTCCCCTATCGCGGTCGAGCCACCTGGCTCTCGAGCGCATGCTCGTCTCGGCCAGACCCGCCAAACTGATTTGCCCGACTCGAGCCGCCTGGCAATTTGCGTTCAGCGACTCGGCGAGGAACCTGCTCCCGCTCGACTCTCTGCTTGTGTCGCATCTTCGATCGGTGACACAGGTTGTGACTGAATTTTCCGTGTTCACCAACGCGGTTTAGCGGAGTCGATCAGATCCCATTTACGCGGTACGGATGATACAATTCCAGCTAGCAATCGACACATCGATCACCCTCGAGGGGGGAGAGTACAGTTAGACGTTCGCGAATGATCTCCGTTCGCAGCAGAGTATACCCGTCACCAATGTCCGACGACCCGGTGTTTGCAGCTGTCTAGCGGTGGAATTCGTACGTGACTCGAGCGAGACACGCGTTATGAATCGTGATCGCGATATGACCTCGTGATCGCCGGAAACCAACGAGCGAACCTTAACTATCTGCACCATTCGTTTCAAGTGAATTCCGGACACGCAGACCGATCGGTAAACAGATAAAGAGAAATCGAAGTTCGAACGATATTACATCGCAGGAAGTTCATTCCGAGTCGAATCGAAAAGATGTGACATACAGCGACGAGAGAGACAAAGAGAGAGAGAGAGAGGGAGAGAGAGAGAGAGAGAGATCGATCGTTCACGAACAGATAAGTCCAACGACGGCAGCTGGTGACAGGGCAAATAGCCAGCGAGCCGAGGGGTTGCCCAAGGTCGGCGAGGGTAGCTTACCCCCAGCGAAGGAAGTTTGCATCTGCGCACGCGAGACAGAGTCTCTCACTGCTCTGCCAACGATCCTCTCTCTCTCTCTCTCTCTCTCTCTCTCTCTCTCTCTCTTTCTCTCTATATCAAAATTCGCTCTTTGTCGCATGTTCACGCACGGATACAAAGGGGCAAGGAAGAAAGAGAGAAAAGGAGAGAGAGAGAGAGAGAACGCCCGTACACACATATGTACACATGTGTGGACACACACACGCATACACACATGCTCTCCTCTAGTGTGCGCTCCGCTGGCCGCTACGCTCTTCGCGTACATTCGCTCGCTATATAGTATATATAGGTCGGCGGTACGCCTCGTGCGGCTGTCGCTGAAACCAAGTTCAAGGCCAAAGGCTCGGCAAAGGCCACAATCGTGGCCGGTGGTGGGAGTCGTTGATGGCTGAATAAGTGGAGGGGCTGTTGAACGCAACCCGCGGAACATCACTCAGTCGGCTGTGATGCTGTCTCGCGTTTACACGCGTTCTACTGTCGCGCTTCTTTCTTGAACTCTCTGCCCGCCCGTGTCCGAACCAGACAGCCGTGTGTGTCTGGCGGCGCGCCGTCCACGCCACGCCACGCCACGCCACGCCACGCCGCGCCACATTACACGATCATCGTCGGAGTGACTCGATAGTCAGCCGATAGTCAGCCATCGAATTACGGATTACGATCCATTCCATAAACGAAAGGGAAAAGGAGGAAAGAAGGAGAAGTAGGAGACGAAGATAGAAAAGGCGTTGCGAAGAATAGAAAGAAGAGAAAGATACATTTGCGATAATAGTCGCGCGTATGCCGTGCCGTGCGAATTCACGACCGCGAGCGTCCACCTACAGTGATCGTGCCGATGGGAGGTTAATTTTGGTGCGCGGTGCAGTTCGCTCCGAGGCCAAACACGATTAAGGAATCGAGCGTTCCTCTCGATCGTTCCTCCTCGACCGTCATGGGAGACGAGTTACCCATACTGAAAGGAATCCTCAACGGAGTTGTCAACTATCACAATGCACGTAGGTGTTCACACACGCGGAAGAGGCGTCGTTTCATACCATCGAACAGTGTTTACCGAAACGTCGTTGTTCTTTTTCATTCTTTTTTTTTTTTTCTTTTTCTTCCTTTTTCGCCCCCTCCGCCTGCCGAACCGCTCTCGTGACTTTCTAACAGAGGAAGGATTCGTAGCACGAGGCCAAGGCAGCCGCCACTTTCGTTTCTCGACGCGGCGAGAAAGTCGCGCGCTTTCCCCTCTCGATTCTTTTTCCCTCTTTCTTTGCCTCTCTCGTCGTCGATCGAGTGTCTCGCACCAACGAGACGTTTATCCCGTCTGTCTGAATTGTAACCGACTACCCGACTACTTGTACACCAGGTGCGGTGATACGCGGGACAATGATCGAAACGTAAAATCAAAAGAGAGAAAAAAAAGAAAGGAAGAGAAGAAAACAAAGATTATTCCACAAATCAGTGTGGTGCTTCCCCGTGACGTTGTAACGAGTGTAATAAGGAAACGCGAGGGTGTTTCACGGAAAAGAGACCGCGCACCAGTTTTCCTCGTAATCGCGCGTGCGAGTCAGAGGCGCTCGAAGGTCGCGGCACGCAGCCCGACGCGCCGTGTCCGTTGCATGATTCATCCATTGATCGCATTAACTATTCATCGACGTGTCCTTCCTTCTGCTTACCACTGACCAAACCGAACTCCGTCTCGTTCGTCTCTCTCGCGTTGGTTTGTCGCGTGTCTAATCGTTGGCCATCCGTGTTGTTTCTGCTTATAGCGGTGCGATTCGGCCGTGTGCCCAAGCGCGAGAAGGCCAGGATTCTGGCTGCTATGCAGCAAAGCTCCCACAGCCGTTCTCAAGAGAAGGCAGTAGCGGCCGAGCTGGAGGACGAGCAACGGCTTCTGGCTACCGTTGTGCAAGCTCATCTCGACACATGCGACTTTACCAGGGACAAGGTGGCCCCGATCCTGGTCAGAGCTCGAGAGACGCCTAACTATACCGCGTGTCCGCCGACCTTGGTGAGTACATACACGTACAATTTTATATTCCTTCTCGCAAGCCTCTTCGTTCTCTGACATTTGCCTCGTTCTCTCGATGTCCCTTTTTTTTTTAATTATCTTTCTTTTTCCTCTTCATTCGTTTTTTTCTTTTTTTTGTTTCTTCTTTTCTTCTTTTTGTCCACGCTCCGTTCTAAAACTTTGCATTTCGGACGGTCGATCTTTATTATACCGCTTGCGTCAACAACGAACGGACCTTGAATCGTCCGAGACGCGCGTAGTCCGTTCTCTACGCGGAAATCGAACCAGTCGTCCTCGACCGAACGAGGAAGCCCGATAGCTACGATATTTCCGATCGTGTTCTTTTCTACAAGCGCGCGAAAGAGTTGGCAAGTTGTTGGTAGCTCTCTAACCTAGAGTCGTTCGTTTTGTTCGTGATTACAGGCATGCCCCCTGAATCCGAATCCTCAACCGTTGACTGGCCAGCAAGAACTGTTGCAAGACTTCTCGAAGAGGTTCTCACCGGCGATCCGCGGTGTGGTGGAGTTCGCGAAACGCATTCCTGGCTTTAGCCTGCTGGCACAGGACGACCAGGTCACGCTGCTGAAGGCCGGCGTGTTCGAGGTGTTGCTGGTGCGGTTGGCCTGCATGTTCGACGCTCAAACGAACAGCATGATCTGCCTGAATGGGCAGGTGCTGAAACGCGAGTCCATCCACAACAGCAGTAACGCTCGGTTTCTCATGGACTCGATGTTCGACTTTGCCGAGAGGGTGAACTCCCTGCGGCTGTCGGACGCGGAATTGGGACTGTTCTGTTCGGTGGTGGTGATCGCCGCGGATAGGCCAGGATTGCGCAACACCGAACTGGTCGAGCGTATGCACAACAAACTGCGAAACGCTCTCCAAACTGTCCTGGCACAGAACCATCCGCAACATCCCGACATCTTGAGAGAACTGTTGAAGAAGATCCCGGATTTGAGAACGTTGAACACCCTCCACTCGGAGAAGTTGCTTGCCTTCAAGATGACGGAGCAACAACAGCAAATGCAAGCTCAGCAACAGCATCAGCAGCAACAGCAACAACAGCAGCAGCAGCAGCAGCAGCAGCAAACGCAGCACGTGATCAGTGCTCAGCAACCGCAACAGCAACAACACTGGCCGATGGAGGAGGAACCACCTGCCTCTTGGGGCTCGGCCTCGGACGTAACTTTGGACGAAGCTGTTAAAAGCCCACTGGGCAGTGTATCGAGCACCGAGAGCACCTGCAGCGGAGAAGTCGCCTCTCTGACGGAATATCATCACGTAGCCCCACCGAGTGGACATCACGCGTCCAGTGCTCCTCTTCTGGCCGCTACTCTGGCCGGTGGTCTCTGTCCGCATCGTCGTCGAGCAAACTCCGGAAGTACGAGCTCCGGCGACGACGAGCTACATCGTGCGTCACTCTCGAAGACGCCTCAACCACCTCAGTGTCCGCGATTCCGCAAGCTAGACTCTCCGAGCGACAGCGGCATCGAGTCGGGCACGGAAAAACCGGACAAACCGGCGAGCAGCAGCGCCAGCAGCGCGCCAACCTCCGTCTGTTCCAGCCCCCGTTCCGAGGACAAGGAAGTGGAAGACATGCCGGTGTTGAAACGAGTGCTTCAAGCACCACCGCTGTACGACACCAATTCTCTGATGGACGAGGCCTACAAACCTCACAAGAAGTTCCGCGCACTACGTCAGAAGGACAGCGCGGAGGCCGAGCCAGCGGTGATCGTGCAACATACGCAGTCGCAGCTTCATCTCCACCTAACCTCGCCACCGGCTCGAAGTCCAACGAATCAAGTGCAAGCTCAGTGCCCCCAAACGGCGAGTCTGTTGAGCAGTACGCACTCGACGTTGGCCAGGAGCCTGATGGAAGGTCCACGAATGACGGCCGAGCAACTGAAGCGCACGGACATCATTCACAACTACATCATGCGCGGCGAGGCAAGTCCCAGATCGCCGACAGCCTCGCCATCGCCAGCAGAGCAGTGCGCTTCCACGACTACCATCACCGCGCGTTCACCCCAAGGATCTCAAGGACTGCTGCAGTGCGCTACCAGCAGTTACTCGACGAGCAGGTGGCCAGCCACGTCGGTCATCACGACGACGACGGGCGCCCGGCAGCAGCAGCAGCAGCAGCAACAACAACAACAACAACAACAGCAGCAGCAGCAGCAACAGCAGCAACAACAACAGCAGCAGCAGCAACAGTCTTCCTCGGACTACCTCATGGTCGGGAATTCACCGGCCTCGTCGCCAAGATATCTGTCTGCGGCGGCGACGAGTAGTACGAGCACGAGTCCACGGCCTGCCTCGAGTACAGCGGCAACGCTCGTCCTCTCCGGTTGTCCGAGCAACATGATGGAGCTACAGGTGGACATCGCGGACAGTCAGCAACCGTTGAATCTGTCGAAAAAGTCGCCGTCCCCGTCGCCGAGGCCGTTAGTAGGCCCGTGCAAGGCGTTGTCTCTCGAGGCGTAGTGGTCTCGCGGAGTCGCGTGAGCGTGTTTCGTTGTTTGTGACGGACGGCGGTAACCACCCTACCTTCGCTGCAACTCGCGGCAATTACGGGCGCTGAACAGACGAGCGCTTACGCGGATCGGCACAGAAGCCCACCTATTGAACGGAGCGACGTCACGGATGCACGGTGTGTTTCGTCGCGACGAATCATTTCTTCTTTCCTCTCTTTTTTTTCCTTTTTTTTTTTTTTTTTTTTTTTTTTTTTTTTTTTTTTTTTTTT